TAATGCTGATTCTTTCCTCTATTGATGTGGGTATATGCTTAATTATGGATGGAGGGTGGTTTAACTTTGGGTGTACATACAAGGGATTAGTGTTAGGTTTTCTGTAAGGTAGGTATATGTTGTTTATTAAATCGAGCAAGTTTACCCTTTTTAATTTAGTATTGACTGTAGCTTTTAAGTTTAGTTTTCTGAATTCACTGTATATTATCTTTCTAATTTTAACTATTTTAAAATTTGAGAAGCTCCTCACTACCATGAGCCCGTCATCCCTGTATAAGCCCGATGTCCGTAATGTCTAATTCACGGTGCGCGGTTAGATTGTACAGTATAAATAGACCGGCAAGGAAAAAAGGAATCTAAATCAGAAAAATATGCGTCCTCTTCAAGATTCGAAAACGGATCTCCTATGGGGAACCGTCATTAGATCTGATGTGCCTAACCGCTTGGCCACGTAAGACTTACAGTCAATCAAAGCCAGAATAGTGAATTTCAACACACATTCTCTGCTGATTCTCGAAACATCCATATCTGTTTCATATCGTAACGGAAACAAAGACAATTTATTTTTAGGAATATGGTTTAAATCCGATATATATATATCTTGAATTTGTAGGTCTGATGAATTGGATCGTGATTACGATTCCAATGTAATAAAATTATAACCATGGAATATTAGTATTTGAGCCTTATATATATATATATATATATATATATATATATATATATATATATATATATATATATATATTACGATAAACGTGCAATCAATTTACAAATTCATGAATTATTCACACAAAAACAAAAGCAAAGGTTAATGATTTAATTGGCGAGAAATCCATCATCGCAAACAATTCAAATAATATACAAAAACCTCCGAATCCGTTTAAGAAAATTTAGGATCCGAAATTTATAAACAAGGATCAAAAATTTCATAAATACTTTCTTAGGTTTTTTATTATTTGAATTGTTTGCGATGAACGATATATAAATCATTATGCTTGTTTTTGTTTTCTGTGACGCAATTTTTGAATAAATTAATTCCTGTATTTATATATATATCTATTATATATATATATATTATATATGTATATATATATATATATATATATAGTTGAAGATCAAATTTGTTTCAGATATGAATAGAGTGTGGCAAGATAATAAAATAAAGAACAAGTAGGAAACGTATCTCAATCTAACATGTTTCACTTTTATTAAAAATTCGTCAGAGATCGAGATAGAAATGAAAAAAAAAGCAATGAGGCAAGTATGTTAGGATCTTGTTTTGTTTAGTTAAGATTTTTATTATAATACTATATATTAAGTCGTTTCTTTGTTTCTTATAATTTTTTTATTGTCATGTGTATAAACGCAACATATAATATATATAAATTTTGACGAACATTTTGCGTCAAAATTCATTCCTACATATAATTCTTTATCTAAAGAAACACTTGTGTGTCTAGGTGTATGTTGGAAGGTAGCGTTAATTGATGCAAGTGTATGTGTGTGTGGAATGTCTATAGATTTCACACTCATTTATTTCGGTGAAAATATAGCGAGATGTTGCAAGAATTTTGTATTTGGCTGGATTTTTATAGTATCGTGTATGTGTACAAGTGCGGGGAATGTCCGTTCTGAAGCTATATTTTTATTAATGCATTGAATTAATCGGAAATTAACAGATTACTTCGAGGCCTGTTACCCAAATTTAAATTATACCTCGTCGCACCTGGGCCTACTGAGAGAACCATCAACGTGTTACTATGTTCTCGCGAAGAATATCGAATGTGCTGCTTATAGCCGATTCGTTAACAGTGGGCGTTCTCCATTGAAATATGATTCAGTTAGTTGTGGAAGTACATGTTCACTCAAA